CAAGACGGACAGCGCAGACGCGGTCTTGACCTGCATGGTGCGCGACCACCTGCACATGAGGAACGACGTGGGCAACCTGAAGGCGGCCGCCAACGTGATGATCATCGTGCTGTGCAACACGTTGAAGGTGGAGATCGACTCGTCCGCCAAGGTGTGGACGGACAACAAGCCGGAGGACGATTCAGCCCACCCGCTTGGATGTGGAAAGCGCACGGAGATCTTCGGTGCCCTGCTGAGCATCTTCGGCAACTTGGAGGAGGGCGCGGACGAATCGCAGAAGGCCGCGGCGGGGTCGCTCAAGCGCCTGTCGCCCTCCCAGATGGACGCGTTTGTGGCCGGATGCAAGTCCCGGCACAACAAGTACGACGAGAAGCGCCCATGGATCTTCACCCTGTCCGTGCGCCCGGGCGTGGACCCCGACCAGCACAAGAACGTGCACGCGCTCGTCGGCATCAACGCGCAGAAGAAGATCCGGGTGGTGCACGAGGCGCCGCGCCAGAGCCCCGAGGCGGAGGCGCTATGGGAGTGGCTCAAGAAACAATAGATGGCCCTGCTCTGTTGTGTGCATGGCATGACGTCCGCCTGCCGCTCCCCCTTCCGCTTCCCTCGCTCCCAGACGTCATGCGCAATTCTTCCAGGAATTCATGGAGCCTACGTCAATGCATCAATTGGTACATCGGCCGTGCATCGTGGCTGTGCGAGAGGCACTCGACGGGGCTGTGGCTACGTACAGTTGGCGGGGGTGGGATCTCTACACGTATTCAGTTCTGGGACCGTTGCCATTAAGTTGTGCACCGGCGTGCCACAGTGATATGTTGTGATGCCCATTCGTCGTGCATGATTTTTTACATCACGTTCGACGGGGTTGTCTTCCTCGGTGTCTGACGAAGAGCTGGCACTATACCTCGGGACGTGATCGAAGCGGAGGCACCCGCCTACCCCGCCACGCACGCCCCCGGGCGGAAGGCGAGGAGGCGGGCGAGGGCGCTCGGACAAGGCGGCCCCGGCCGCGCCCCGACGTCACGCGACAGCCACAATTTTCTACTACGAGTGGGCGTCCGGTGCCCCTGCACCACCGGGCGTTGCTTGTGAGACGATTACGGAGTGCGCCCAGTCCCCCGGGAACAACAGTGGTCAATTCCAACCAAGTGCATTTGCGTGTACACTCACATCTTGCTGTTTTTGGCGTTGCACACCACATCGTGTACTTTAGCATTATGTCGTTCATGTTGCACACCACATGTTGTATCTGACCGCCCGGTACGCAGAATGTTTGGTACTTTCTTGGTGCTCGAAATTCTTTCTGGCGGGCGAGGCTAAAGTAGGTGGGAACATCATAAGCATTGCCCCCCCCCTGGCCTATTCGGCCCCTCTCGTCGCCTCCGACAAACGGCTCACGTGGCCGGCTTCTCTGGCGCCTCCCGGCGCCAGCGGCGCCAGAAAACAGCGACGAAGACGCCCAGCGGCGGAGCAACGGACCCCGCTGCACGCAGCAGCCTCCGTGCCCCCCCCCGCTCTCCTTCTGCTTAGGTCGGGCATGCCCCCCTTCAGGCGGATTTGGGAAGGAAAAATATATCCAAAAGTAATCAAACGAATTCTCAAACATATTTCAAAAATCATCCCCAGGCTGTTTTTTCACTTTTTATGGATAGTCCACCTGTAGAGGGACAGGCCTGACTCAATATCATGCCCCCCATTGTCACCCGACCCGAAACAAAAGGCTAGGACGGGCGAGCAGGCAAGGAAAGAAGGGTGCCCGTGGCAAGCCGCTCGTTGAGACGAAGCCCAGACGAGGATAGAATCGAATCTCTGAGATCCGACGGCTCTGTAGGATGCCTCGGGAGCCGCGGCCTTCTCCGAGCGCTCCGGAACGCTCTGAGAGAGATCCGGAACGCTCGGGCACTTATTTCTTCATGATGCACTTCGACTGCGCTGCGGCAACACCGCCCGCGAGCGCCCCGTGCGCACAGAGCGGCGCCCCGCCCGGGGAGGGACGGGGAGGGGGGGGGCCTCTGGACCTGCAGGCAGCAGGCTTGGAGCCTCTTCCTCCTCCTCTTCCTCCTCTTCCTCCTCCTCCTCCTGCTCCTGCTTCTCCTCACCTCCTCCTCCTCCTCCTCCTCCTCACCTCCTCCTCCTCTTTCTCCTCCTCCTCCTCGTGCTAAGGCGGAGGAGAAATTATGATGCGCAACAATTGGGTGAGGATCCAACAAACATCTCTGAGATCCAGCGGCTCTCGAGGATATCTCGGGAGCCGCGGCCTCCTCAGAGCGTTCCGGAACGCTCTGGAACGGATCTGATCCTCGCCCTGGCCCTAGGTCGGGTATGTCCTCCTACAGGCGGATTTTGGAAGAAAAAATAAAAAATAGACAAACCAAGTTTCACAAACAGGCGAACTTAGTAGAAAATTCGCCCCCTTACTAATTTTTGATAATTCTTGAATTTTCCTCCTGTAGAGGCGCATTCCCTACTTAATCGTAGCCCCTTCCGACAAAAACCTGGGCTGGGGCAAACCTCCACGACGGGGAGCCTCTCTGCGCGGGGCATCGGTCCCCCCCCCGGAGGGGGTGCCAAGCCCCGACACCTTGGAAGGCAATTTAGCTCTGGCCAGACACGCGCTGTCAAGCGTGGAAAGGGAGGCCAACGTCGTGCAGGAGGGGCGGCGGGGGAGGAGTAGCCAGGTTGGCCTCGTCCTCCACTGGCGGAGAAGGAGGAGGAGGAGGAGGAGGAGGAGGAGGAGGAGGACAAGGAGGAGGAGGAGGAAGAGGAGGAGGAGGAGGACAAGGATGAGGAGGAGGAAGAGGAGGGGATACCGCCAGGGAAGCAGCGGAACCCTGCGGGACAAGGGTCCTGAGGTTCTTCGCCCTGTGTGGGCCCTCGGGCGCGGCTCCCGGGAAAGAGCGGAGTGCCTCCTCACCCTGTGGCGCCGGTGTCGGCTGCAGCCACGTTGGAGGGGTCAGGACGTCGGGCCTCGCGATCTTTCACAACGTGGACCCCCGCTCGGTTCGGCGCGGGGGCTGCTAGGGTGACGGAGAGGTCATCAGTGGATGCCAATGTGTGTGAGACCTGACCCGGCCCAGGGTTCACATGGGTCGCAATTGGAGGCAGTGGGGTGTTCACGCTCTGCTGCGTGGGCCCTACCCGCTCGGCGGAGCTATCTGACCCTCGGGCACTGGCAGCCAACCCTCCCTGGCATCGACTGATCACCTTCCTGCCCCTCCGTCACCCCCCGCGCCGATCCAAGCAGAGGTCCAGACCTCCTCCCTGGGGCACATCTTTTCATTCCGCCGGGCGTCGCTTAATGGTGGGGGCGATTAGGTGGAAGGGGGGGGGGGCACAGGTGCAACTCTCGGGTCCCAACGCCCCCCTTTCGGGGCCCTGCAGGGCCCTTTCAGGGGACCAAAACAGGCTCCTTTTCTGCAACCCCGGCTGCCCCGCCACTTGGGCGATTTCGGAAACCCTGAACCCAAAAACGTTTTCATTTCTTGAAGGCAAATCTTTTCACTTCCGCCGCCTTCTGCCAGCCTTCCGCCGGCTTCTGCCGGCAGAGGCGGCATCGTTTTACTTCCGCCGCCTCACGCCAAGGAAGATATGATAACTCCTTCGATCAGTGAAGGCAAAGCCTGTTTTGAGGACGCCCAAGCCCGCTCCGTTGCTGACGGTCCCGGGTTCCGGGCAGCAGCCGCAAAGAGGCCCCAAACTCAGAGGGCACACAGAAACCTACCGCCGTGACTTTTGTTTTAGGTCGGGCGTGTCCCCCTACAGGCTGATCGTGGCAGAAAATCAGAAATACTCTAAACATGCTACAACATATTCCATTTGCTTTTCTTTACTAACAAAAAACATCCCCTGACATTTTGTTGACTATTTTTGAAGATTCCTCCTGTAGAGGGACAGGCCCGACTGAAGCCTACCGCCGTGACTTGTGTTCTGCCACGGCGCCGTGGGCACGGCTGGGGAGCGCTGGGGGGCGAAGCGCCAAACAGTGCGCGAGGCAGGGCTCGAGCCAAAGAGTGCCTGCCGTGCTCGTTCTCGTGCTCGCTCTCCCCGCGGCCCGTCTTCGTTCGCCCCTCGCCGCAGAACAGCACCAGAACGAAAACAGCCCACGACAGCGCCCCAACACTCTTTAGCTCGAGCCCTTCGCCATGAATTACCCAGACTGTCCCCCACGGGGCCGAAGTCCCCAGCATGCTCTGGGAAGCAGAAGGGGATAAAAGAAGGAGGGGGAGGAGGCGGGAGGGGGGGGGGAAGGGAGGGAGCGAGGGAGGGAGCGAGGGAAGCCAGACGGACAGGCAAAAACAGACAGGCAAGCAAACCGACCCTCTCAGATCGGCAGCGCCGGCGAGCGCAGGCGCGCGGGTCGAGACCGGCGGGGCGCGCTGGGCGCGGGGCGCACGGAGCGAGGGGAAACGCAGAGAGGAGCGGCCGCTGAGGAGGAAACGGGAAGAGGAGGCCCCAACATCGAGAGCCGACGGGTGAGACAGACAGACAGACAGACAGACAGACAGACAGACAGACACACAGACAGACAGACAGACAGACAGACGGACGGACGGACGGACGGACAGACGGACAGCCAGACACGCAGACAGACAGACAGACAGACAGACAGACAGACAGACAGACAGACACGCAGACAGACAGACAGACAGACAGACAGACAGACAGACAGACAGACAGACAGACAGACAGACAGACGGACAGACCGTACACACCAACACACACACACACACACGCACACATGAACACACACACAAGCACTCACGCAGGCAGAAAGAGAGGCATATGTAAAGAGAGAGGGAGAAAGAGAGAGAGAGAGAGAGAGAGCAGAAACAGCAACGAAGGAGAAAAAAGAGAGAGAGAGAGAGAGGGAGAGAGAGACGGAGAACGGAAAGGAAAGGGAGCGAGAGCGAGAGAGAGAGAGAGAGAGACACACGGAGAGAGCTTGGGCCCCCCCATGACACAAAAAAAACAAAGAGGGGCGGAGGCAGGGGAGGGGGCACCCGTAGCTCAGGCAGCTGCCCCCGCCGCCGGCGCCAGGGGCGCTCGCCGTCTGCTCGGCGGCCTCAGGTTCGCCTCCTCCTCCTCCTCCTTCTCGGCATCCCTTTCCTCTTTCTCCTCCTCCACCTCCTCCTCCTCCTCGCGGTCCTCGTGCGGAGAAAGGAGCAGGCCCAGGGGAGGGGGAACATGAGGAGGAGGAGGAGGAGGAGGAGGAGGAGGAGGAGGAGGAGGAGGAGGAGGGGAGGAGCAGAGATCCAAGGAGAGGAGGAAGAGAGGGGGGAAGGGGGAAGGGAGAGGGAGGAGGAAGAGAGGGCGACGATGGGGAGGAGGGGGCGATGGGGATGAGGAGTGTGGAGTGGGAGGGGGGAGGAGGAGCAGGTCGAGAAGGGGAGGAGGGAGAAGGGGGGGGGATAGGCAGGAGGGTGCGAGGGAGGAACAAAGAGAGAGGGAAACGACAAGCTAGGCAAACTCGCGCCATATCTGGCAGCTAACCTCTCTCAACCGTCCCTTTCTGTTGGGCTGTTTCTCCTCCATCCGCCGACGCGTGTCATAGCGGACCTGGAACTCCAAGGAGGACCCCATCGTGCACTGCGCCATCGGAAAAAAGGATGCTGTGTCCAGGAGGGGGGGGACGTGGCAGATGAGCACGAGGATGCGAGGAGAAGGAGAAGGAGGAGGAAGAGGAAGAAGGAGGACGAGGACAAACAGCAGCAGCAGCAGGAGCTCGAGTGGAAGGAGCGGGAGGAGCAGGAGGACCAGGGGCAGGGGGAGAGGAGGGTGGAAACGAAGGCGCGAATGCGATGAAAAGGGACTCGGATCCTGAAAGGTAGCACACGCTGGAGCGGGAGCGCCCTTCTGAACGACGGGAGCAAAACGCTGATCCAAAAATGAGGCCCACGCTGCAGCGGTATCACCATTCTGAAACACCCACAACAATTGGAATCCTGTGTGGGTGTTGAGGAAGATCCCCTGGAGCTTCAGTCCTCAATCCTGACGATCCTTTCAAGGACCCAGGCCCACAATTGCCAAATCTCCTTGTGAGGGCCCCAAGACGGGCCGCCCGGACGGTCCAAGAGGGCCCCAAATCGCCGCACGATCGCTCCGAGACGCCCAAGATGGCCCGAAGCGGCCCAAGAAGCCTTCCAGACGCCCGAAGAAGAGCCTCGAGAGCCTCCTCAAGATGCCAATACCTGTACTTCCCTTATGGTTTCCACTGTTTTGGGGGGTTCTCGACTCTTCTAGCTCCTGACACTCCAAAACGGCCCAAGAGGCCCCCAAGACGGCTCGAAGACGGCTCAAGAGGGCCCCACGACGGCCCCAGACGGTCCCAAGACGGCCCCTAAACGGCCCAAGAGAGCCCCCTTAGACTTTCTGCGCCACTCGTCGGGCCGGAGCGATCTGTAAGGGTCCCGCACCCCGCTGGAACAACATGACGTGCCAGGGTCTCAATGCCCTGTGAGTCGGAGACCGATACACAACCACCGCCTCGGGGATCCATCTTCGAAGGGGTCTACCCATCTATCCACAAACACCTCCGCCGGAAAACTCGAACCTCGAATGGACCAATCCCCGCCTCGACCCTTCCCATGGGCAGAGGCTCCGCAGGGAAGCTGCGGCTCCCCAGACATCCGATCTCTTGACTTCTTCAGTACCGCGCCCCCCGAAGCCTCGACGCGCCAGGGGCCGAGCGGAGGAGGAGGAGGAGGAGGCCAAGAGTTGGAGGAGGCCAGGAGGAGGAGGAGGAGGAGGAGGAGGAGGAGGAGGCCAGGAGGAGGAGGAGGAGGAGGAGGAGGAGGAGGAGGAAGAGGAGACCAGGAGGAGGAGGAGGAGGAGGAGGAAGAGGCCAGGAGGAGGAGGAGGAGGCCAGGAGTACCCCGTCCCCGGGACCCGCGCTGTTCACCCCAAGTCGTTCTCTGACGGCCGCGGGCCAGGCGAGAGCCTCCAGAGGCAGAAAACTTAGAAAAACCTGCGTCCTCTGAGCATCTTTTCAGGGTGGAATGCTCAGGGTGAAATCCATATGGGCTCTTGCACCTCGAAGATTATATTCGTCTTGTGGTTCACCTTTCGCAGATCCAAGCCTCGAACATCCATCGAAGCGGCATTTCCTCGGAACGGCTCTTGCCCTCCACCGAAAGACAAAATGCCCGGGTCCTGAGCGAGAGGCCTGGCTCCACAGCCACCGACTGGCACCCACCCTCCGTGGGCCGCGGCGGCCCTGCGGCCGCTCGGTGCGCAGGCCTCCGGAGGCCAGCTCTGAGAACCTGGCGCCTCACGCGGGTGCTCGCACGGGGCACTCGCGCCCAGCAGCGGGCCCAGGGGGAGCCCCCACAGCGCGTCTGGAAACTGCGAAACTCGAGACCTCGTTCCCTGAGATCAAAACCTCGTCGCCTTCGAAACTTCGAAGCTCCTCGTCCCTTCGAATCTCAAAACCTCATCCCCTTCGAAACTTCGAAACTCCTCGGCCCTTCCTGAGATCTGGCTGGCGTCGCGACACAGTTCAAACGAATGATGCGCCACTGCCGGAGCCCTAGACCCCGTCTTCCTGCGCCACATTTCGAGCCGGATCGATCTGTGAGGGTCCCGGGGCTCGAAACAAGGCGGAAACGACCTGCTCGAACGAGCGACGCCAGGACCTCCGGGCTTACTCCGGATGGCAAAATCATCGTGGGGGGGAGGGCGACTCGTCTTCCGACGGAGCATCCCCACCCCCCCCATACACCGCCCCTCAACGCGCGTCCCAAAGTCTCTCCCCAACTCCACCCGGCCAAGGAGCTTGAGCTGCAAAACTGTCATCCCCCCAATCCCCTCCCGACGGCATGCGCCCATCCCCCCCGGAACCCAATGGGGGGGGAGGAGCATCGTGCCATCCAGAATGCCCAGACCCCCGACGTCATGATTTTTGCTCGTAACGTCGACCCGGGAAGTCTCGACCCACTCCCCGGGACCGCTTTTTCATCTGTCTGGAATGGTTTTCTTGACGGCCCCGAGGCCCGTTGAGGGCCTCCAGATAGGGAGCCCACAAAGGATGTACGCGCACAACTATGTACATGAACACGACCCCTTGACCCGCGAGACCGGCCGCGCAATGCGAACATTTGCGCCACGCGAACTCTCGAAACCAGCGTGGATTCATGTACGTGTACGTTCTTCTCTCGCTCCCGACCAGAGGAACCAACTAGCGGAAAAAACCTCCCGTCGTGACTCTGTCATGGCTCGGGGGAGAGCATGCTGCTTCGCATGAGCTTGATGCCAGTGGGTGGAAGACGAATTGGATCCGTCAGTGGGTCAGTCTTGTGTGCGGCAGCTTCCTGTCGTGCCGACTTCGGCGCTGGCTTCTGACGCCGCGGGCATCGTTCCACCTTGAAAGATCGGCCGTCTCCAAGCCATCAGGTCGTTCAGCATCAACCGGTTCTGGGTCGCCGGCGGCGCTCAGCGCTGAACGCGCCTGTGGCGGGGCCGCCGCTGGTCGACACGACGCGAACCTACCGCACTGACGTGGAAGCTACACGTCGTTCGTTTCTAATCGTGCTCATTCCTGATCGTGCTCGTTTCTAACTGTTCCTGGCCCCCTAGTGGCCAGGACGAGGCCCAGGATAGAAATATTAGAAATGAAATGATCTTGGCCCCCCAAAAAATCACAGACCTTCCGAAGAATTAGACATGAACAGTGGGTATGTGCTGGCGAAGGCTCCGCAGGGCCGCCGCGGCGGCAGCAAGCGGCGGCGGCACGCGGCGGCCCGCGGCGGCGGGCAAATGCGCGGCCCGAGGCCTGCGACAGCGGGGGGCCGCCGGCCGCGAAGAAGCCTGCAGGGCGGGGGCGCCCCCGCGGAGGGCCAGGCCGGGCCGTCGCGGCCAGCGGCCGAGGAGGAGGAGGAGGAGGCGGAGGAGGAGGAGGAGGCGGAGGAGGAGGAGGAGGAGGCGGAGGAAGAGGAGGGGGAGTGGGGGAGGGGTGGAGGGGGAGGAGGAGGAGGAGGAGGAGGAGGAGGAGGAGGAGGAGGAGGAGAAGGAGGAGGAAGAGGGGGAGGAGGAAGAGGAGGGGGAGTGGGGGAGAGGAGGAGGGCAAGATAGGTGCGCTCGCGTCATATCTGACATCCTACCCCTCCCTCCCATCCCTTACCATGGCGCAGATCCCCTCTCCACTCGCACAGTCGGATGTCGAGCAGGGCAATGATCCCGAAATGGTACGCGATGCATTGTAGAGCACGGCATGGCATGGCGTAGAAGAGCACCGCAAAGCGTAGTATCAACCTAGCATTGCATTGCATGCCGTGGCATGGCACGGGAAATTACGGCAGTGCTGCAGCGAGAGCACGAGTCGAAACGACCGGAAGCGCGGAAATGAGGCCAGCGCTGCAGCGGGAGCACGATTCGGAACGAGCGGAAGCACGGGAATGAGGCCCACGCTGCAGCGGGAGCACGATTCGGAACGAGCGGGGCTCGAAAATGAGGCCGGCGCCTCAGCGAGAGCAGCATTTTGAAAAAAATGCAAGCGAAGACACAACTCCGGGGAAACCTGTGTGTAAAAAACAATACGCGGGGGGGGTCGAGCACTTTCAAACCGTCATCAGGGGAAGAGGGAGTGTAGTATTCATATTGAGTAATTGTGGAGGAGGAGGAGGAGGAGGAGGAAGAAGAAAAGGAGGGGGAGGAGGAGGATGTGAGGGGCAACCCCAGAGGGTCTTCAGTGCTACGCCCCCACCCCTGCCCCCCCCAAAAAAGCCCCAAGCGGAGAATTGAGAATCTCGTCCCCCCTCCTCCTCCTCCTCCTCCTCCTCCTCCTCCTCCTCCTCCTCCTCCTCCTCCTCCTCCTCCTCCCCCTCCCTCCTACATAGCAGTCGCAGGGGCGATGACGACGACGGCGGCGGCGACGACTCTAGTGGAGGAATGTGCGGGGGCCGCCGCGGGGGAATCATTGTTTTCCAATTGCTGTTGGAGTCCCAAGCCGTCAAGAAGCCGGGGAGAGCCTGGGGGAGAATTCATAGTTTCCCAATTATGCCCGGGGGGTTTTAAAAGACTCTTCGGGGTCTATGACAAGCCAAGACCTCCTCGGGTCATGATCATTTCACGGCGGACGGTCTTTGGCTATCTTCGGCCTCTGGGGGCCATTACGGACTCATCGGGGCCATTCAAAAACGACTCAGGAGGACAAACCGGTCCAAGCGCACACAGTTGGGCCTAGTACCCTGATATCAAACAAACATATCTTTGATGTTCAACGATGTATCAGCCATTCGGGGTCGATGCATCCCCCCCGTATGCCTATCCCACTATCGTTACCCCTCTGCAGGCAGGGGAGTTGGAGTCGGCTGGGTGGTTGAGGTGGCGTAGCACTGGTTCTGGCCAGCAGAAGGGGGAGGAAGGGGGCCTTCCTGAACAAGGGCTGTCGTCCCTACGGCTGGGCGCGGCTCGAAAAAAGAATGCATTTGGACCCCGTGGGGTCCGGGCAACGATTTTAGGCAGATATGGGCTCAGCCCCCACTCTTGAATCATCTTCTCTGGGCCCATCCAACGTAGACCCCCTGCCGCCCCCACGGGGGGGGGGGGGGAGAAGGAGGGCCCAAAGAGACGGAGCCTGCAACGCGGTACACCCACGGCAAGCCTTGCGTCCGAGGCGGAGTTTGGCCTGGTGGCCGAATCGTAAGGCCGCGCGTCGGAACAAAACTCATCAACGATGTTGAAATACACCCTCCCTCCAGAAACTCTCTTCATAGGCCCCTCCAAAAGGCCATTTCCACTGACAAAATTGCCTGGCTGGGGGACAACCGTGTTGCCATCTTGAAGCGTACCAAAACACCATTCTCAGGACTTCAACGCCACGAATTAACCTGACTGTTACGTCCTGACGACCCTGAATCGTGCCAGAAAGCCGCTCTTGGTACTTCAACATCGCGAATACGGGTAATTGCTGCGCAATAACAGCCCTGAATCGTTCAACATACTATTTCTGCTACGTTAAGAATGGAACTGAATGAAACTCTCGGCGCTGTTTTGAACGAATGTACGCGTCGCTGAGACGAGAGCCTCACTTCGAGAACGAATGTGCGAGGCGCTGAGGCGAGAACCCAATGTTTAAAACGAACCACCCTCAATCCGTAAAACTCTCGCAATTGTTTACAAAGAGTGTGCGCGGCGCGAAGGCGGGAGCCCAATTTGGAAAACCACCCGCCCTCAATCTGTGAAACCCATGCAACTCTTCGAACGAATGTGCGCGTCGCTACGGCGAGACCCAGATTTCGAAAACCACCCGCCCTCGATCTGCAAAACGCTTGCAAATGTAAAAGAAATTCATGCGACGCTGGGGCGAGAGCCACATTTTGAAAACGACCCGGCCTCAATCCGTGCAGCTCTTGCAACGTTTGCTAAACGAATGTGCGCGGCGTCAAGGCGAGAACCACATGTTGAATACGGTCCGTCCTCAATCCGCGGCGCTAAGGCGAGAGCCACATTCTGAAAACGACCCGCCCTCCATCTGTGAAGCTGTTGACAGTTTTTAAGAATTAGGGTTATAACTGGTGAAGAACTCTCAAGCGGAACGCCCTGCCGCCCTTTAGACCGGCGTCGAAACTGCGACAGGGGGGAGGGGGGTCATCTAGAAGGCAACGGACTGGAGGAGCAGGGCGCCGCCGCAGCTCCGCCGGAGCGCGTTTGAATGCAGACGTTGGCAGGCTCCCGTGCGTGGCACCCTCCCCCCCCCCTCCTTCGCCATTTCCAGCAGCGCTGGGCCGAGCAGGCGCGCAAGCGAGCCCCGCCTTGAGCGAAGCCCAGCTTTCCCTCCGGGCCTCGCCCCCCGATCCACGCGCTGCCTCCAGCGGAGATGGGCGTGCAGCGCCGTAGCGCTCCATCTGGGGAAACCAAAAGGTACCGATGCCGCTACCCCCCGGACCCCCTCGAAGGGAGCGTTCTGACCAGAACTTCGAAGAGAAATCCAGCGGTGGCAACGAGGCCTTCGGATGCCCACAACAAGGAGAACGAGGCACGGGTAGCGCATCTGGTCCCTTGCCTCCACTAACAAACAGTCTGCCTCCAGCGTTAGGTCGTGCATGTATGTTCTCCTACAGGTCGTTTTTGGACGAAAAATAAAGCACAATCGCAACATTTCCCAATATACGGATAAAACATTTGCAACAAAAGAGTCTCCATAATATTCTTTGACTATTTTGCAATATTCCTCCTGTAGAAAGACATTCCCGAATTGAGTGCAGCGCCGTCGCGATCAACTGGGGACGCCGAGGGTCCTTCTTCCAGTCCAGGCCACTGCACCAGGGTCGGGGGGGTGGGCCCCTGGACGCGAGGAAGCCTGCTCGGGGCCCCCGCCCAGCCGGCCCCTCGCGACCAGTGGTCGGGGGCTCAGGGGTGGGGGAAGAGGGGATCCACGGATCTCCGACGATGCGATTCTGGGAACACCCGGCGCGTCTTCCTCGGTTTCGGCCTTGCGGGGGCCATTGCCGGGCCCAGGGGGCCAGCAAGCATGGATCCGGGACGGACATGCAATTACCCGCCCAGAAACCCGTCTCGGCGGCGAGCGAGGGGGGAAGTGAGAAGGGGCGGGCCTTCTCAGAAGGCTCGAAGTCCCCCGGCCTTCTGACAAGTTCTTAAGCCTCCACCGAAAACAAAAAACAATGCTCAGATGGCGCGAGGGATTCTGAGAAGCGCCGCCGCCTTCTGAGAAAACCTTACCATTCTCGTGTCCCCCCCTCGCTCGCCGCCGACTGTCGGGACCTCTGGGGCCGCAGATTGCAAGCACACATCTCACCTGCGGATGTCAGGGCTATGGGGCGGGACCCAGGGCCCAGAGGTCCCTCCTCGCGGCCGAGGCCAGCGACCGGGGCTCAGAGGAGGAGACATATCGGGGTCTTCGCGAAAACGATTCAAAGTTATCAAGCCCGATTGCGGGGCCATTAGCGCATACCAGGCCAGATCAAGCAATGGATGTTGCCATACCAAGCGGGATTCAGCGGAATTTGAACGGGATGAGGCCCGCAATGGTATCCTAATTAGGGGAAGGGACGAGCCAGACGAAAGGGGGAGTAGTTCAGGGTCGGGTGCTGCTAGAAGCGCCCCCTGCCTAAGGTGCCCCCAGGATTTGCAAGGTGGCGCCTATGCCATGGCCTCTGGAGCAGCGCTCACGAGGCCCAGAGGGCCACAGGAGCTGCAGAACTGAGCGAAAAGCTGGGGGGCACCTTTGTAGCCCCCGAATGGGTTGGCTACTCATTCTGGGTACCATCCTGGAGTTACTCGCTCCACTCGTGCGTCGAAGCTCGGGAATTTCGAATTGCCCGAATTTTTGTTTTCGACCCTGGAATTTGTATTTTTCGGAGGAGCTGGCAATACCCCCTGCTGAGACATCCGGCGTTGTATTTTTTTGTGTGGCTCCCAAACAGGTCTGGCGGGTTTCCTGGGGCCCGAGTCATCTTTTAACGGCGGCCCCGGGGCTGGATGAGGGCACCCCGAAGCCGAAACGTTGCCAACGAACCCCGCATCTTGCTGTCGCCGCGGCGCGAGGAGGTCAGGGCCTCCTCGGGTGGTGTTCCCCCCCTTGGCATTGCTAGGCCGACAACGGCATTCCCACCGCCCCCCGGGGCCGTCGCCGCTGTCCGAGGACGCGCTCTCCGACCGGTGGCCGCCGTCAGCCGCCGTGCAGTGCTCCTGCCGCGGGCGCCCGCCCCCCCCCCCCCTGGAGGGGCAGAGGGACTTGATACCATCAGGGCGAGCAAATCACCCGCGGCGTACCCAACCCCTTTTTGCACGCGAGGCGAATCTGTGCATGAACGCTCCATACAAGACCACACACATCGCCAGATGTGCTGCCCTTACCTTGCAAGAGCCCCTGAAAAAAGAGAGACTGCGCAGTTCGCAGCCTTCCAAGAAAACTGCGCGGTCTCGGCTGGATGCGCGTACTCCGCGAATCCGCCATGCCTCCCAGGAGCCCTCGGAGATGGCGATGGTGCACAAACCGCAACCACCAAGAGAGATGCGAGGTCCCGGCTGGGTGCGCGTACTCCGCGACTCCGCCGTGCCTCCCAGGAACCCACGAAAGTGGCGACAAATGCGAAGTTCGCAGCCACCCAACGAACTGCGAGGTCTCATCTGGGTGCGCGTACTCCGCGACTGCGCCGTGCCTCCCATGGACCCACGAAAAAGGCGACAATTGCAAATGTTGCAACCACCCAAGGAGATGCGAGGTCTCGGGCACTCCCCTACTCCGCCGTGCCTCCCAAGAGCCCACGAACGTGGCGACAAACACGCAATTCGCAACCACCCAAATGAGCTGCAAGGTCTCGGGTACTCCCGTACTCCGTTGTGACATCGATGAGATCACGAAGGTCGACAATTGCGCATTTCGCAACCCCCCAAGGAGCTGCGAGGTCTCGGGTACTCCCCTGCTCCGCCGAGCATCCCAGGAGCCCACGAACGTGGCGACAACTGCTAACTTTGCAACCACACAAGGAGCTGCGAGGTCTCGGGAACTCCCCTGCTCCGCCGTGACTCCCAGGAGCCAACGAGAGTGGTTGCAGTTGCGCAATTCGCACCCGAACAGCGCAGGAGGAGGGGAGAAGAAGAACAGGGTGTGCGACCGCAAAGCTCTATCCAACACGGAATCCAACGCAGGAGGGTTGGGAACTACAAGTACGAGGACAAACTTGAACAAACATGTGTAGCAATGATGGCACGATGATGTGGCTTCGATGGGATAGGTCTGCACAGATGAGCTTCAGTGCCTCAATGTGTATGTTCACCACGCATGCTGCTTATGTTTTTCTTTGACTAGGTGACCGACGTGCCCTTTTTCTTTGATGCGAACAACAGACGAATCCTGGGACGCGTGACTCGAAGAACTCGGCTGCCTTCAAAACACGAATTGTTTTTTGTTCTCAAAGTACATAATGGAAATAATAAAAAACGTATACGGGCCATCGTGGGAAAGGTTGCTCTTCAACGTATTGCGAGGTTGCGAAATCTCGGGTACACTCTTGCGCCGCGGTGACTCCCAGGAGCCCACGCAAGTAGCGACAGCTGCGCAGGTCGCAGCCTGCCAGGGAGCAGCGCAGGAGAAGGGCTGCGAGGCAGCGCAGGAGGAGGGGACAGCACAAGAAGAGGCAGCGCAGGAGGGAGCAGCACAGGAGGAGGCAGCGCAGGAGGGGAGAGGAGAAGAGCAGGGTGTGCGACCGCAGTGCTCTACTCAAAACGAGAACCCAACACAAGAGGAATCCATAGAACAAAACTACGTAAAACATGGGGCACGATGATCTGGCTTCGGGGAAAACGGGCCGCACCTATGAGCGTCAGTGCCTCAATATGTACGTTCATCACGCATGCTGCTGACGCATGTGTTCCTTTGATGGTCAGATCAACGAACGTATCCTGGGGTGTGTGACTCGACGGGCCAGGCGCCTTCAAACTCCGAATTGCAATGAGAACAATAACAAAACAAGCCATCGCGTGAAAGGTTGCACTTCAACGTGTTAAGAGGCATCGCCACCACTTGCACATTATTGAGAAAGTCTCCTTCGCTTGGGTTCACCTTGTCGAAAGACGGAGTGCCAACACGGGTGGGCAATCTGTTGTTCTTGGCGGTAAGTGAAAAAATACAACTGAACTGGCATCTGTCCATCAACGTGTGGTGATGCACCAAAACCGGCAAACTAAGACACTCTCCGAACTCAACACCGCGATGCGCTGCATTCCAACGAAGCTTTGTAACCATCCGTTCTACAAGTGGAAGCATTTCTGCTTGCATTTTGCGCGTCGGAAGAGAAGGCCGTAATCCCAACAACCTTTCCACAATGCGAAGGGCTTTCTCGTCACAGACATGTTGCAAACAGGTGATCAACCAGAACGGCAAGAAACGAACGTTGCCACGCTCGTAACCTCTGGAACTCGAAATGCGATCAATTGACACCACCATTGGATGGGGTCCGTGAGGGGAAGGCCCGAACCGATGGAAACGAACATCGATGGATGAGTATCGAAATGGTCCAGACGTCCTTTCCAGCATCATGTCCTCGTCGAAAGGCAACCCCTTGGTCAGAGCTCTGCGCTTTGCTCCATACAGCAAATCGGCACGCGTTCTGCCTTCGCAGCTAAGGTACGGGGTGCACATGCCATCTAAGCTGGACGATCTGCTGTTTGGGGATAGCAAAACATGCCACGAGTCTGGGGCTGATCGCGCATGTGTGATTTGATACACTCCCCCATAGTCGAGCACATGGCGACGCTATCGCAGAGTTGAAGGTGATCGACTGTCGGATGTTCAGTAGTCTTACAACAGACGTTGTGTTAAACATCTGCAGCCGCAAACCTCATGATACCTTGCTGCCTAGCTGCTTGCGTTGCCATGCCCACGGCCATGCATCGTCAGTCAAAAACGGTTGGCGCAACGTAACTAGGCTGGGTCGAACTGGCTTGAGCCAAGATGGCTATGACAAGCTATCTGTGTGGTATTGTTGTGTCCGTGGGACATGGCATCGGAGGGGCGGTATTGATCTCTGTGTGGTGTAGAAGTTGACACTTGGTGATCGCCAAAGGCGTGTGCGAATGCTGTATGCTAGTGTTGCGTGTTACTTTTTTGTGTGGCTGCTGTGGTGTTGAAGCGCTTGCTGGATGTACGTACGCGGTGAGTATGTTCTCTGTGCAGCACTCGTGCCGGCGTTTGGGATTTATTACTCACGAGTGCTACCCATGTGTGTGGTGGTGCGTGTCTGATGCCGAGCAATGGTGCACATTAGTGATGCAAGCTGTTGGGACTTAGTGTGATGTTATTGACGGGTTGGGTTGGTTTGTCAGTGGCGCATGTGGAAGGGGAAGTTTCTAGATGTGTTCAAAACCTGGTGATGTGATTAAACTGTGCATTCCTGATGTCCGTTCGTAATGCCTATGTTTGGTGTATGATCGTGGTGGCAATTCGTGGTGCATGCTCTGTGTGTTCATCATGTGTGTAGGAACTATGTGATGGTTGCTCGATCGTGGTGTATGCAATTGGCGATGACCCTGGTGTATCATAGTCCTGTGTGCCTGGAACGTACCCAACCCCTTCTCCAAGCAAGGAGAAACTGTATATGAACGTTCGCTGCAAAAGAAGACATCGCCAAATGTGCTGCCCTCATTTCCATCTCCGCCGTGCCTCCCAAAAACCCTCTTCAAAAATGCAATTACGCAATTCGCAACCACCCAGAAAACTGCAAACTCTCCGCTGGATGCGCGTAATCCGCTACCCCGCCGTGCCCCCCAGGAGCCCGCTCCGCGACCCCGCCTTGCATCCCGAGAGCCCACGGAAGTGGCGACAGTTGCGCAGTTCGCAGCCACCCAAGGAGCTGCGAGGTCTTAGCTGGATGTGCGTACCCCGCGACCCCGTCGTGCCTCCCAGGAGCCCTCCAAGGAGCAACGGAGTCTCGGCGGCTGGATGCGCGCACTCCGCGACTCCGCCGTGCCCCCCAGGAACCCACAAAACAAGACGACAATTGCACACGTTGCTTCCAACAAAACAACCACGATGTCTCGGCTGATTGCGCCTATTCCGCTACTCCGCCGTGCCTACCAGGAGCCCACGACAGTTGCGACAATTGCGTGGCCTGCAGCAAATCACAAACCTGCGATGTATCGGGTACTCTCCTACTCCGCGGTGCCTCCCAGGAGCCAACGAAAATGGCAACCACTGCGCAATTCGCAGACACCCAAAGGGCTGCGAAGTCCCGAAGACTCCCCTACTCCGCCGTGACTCCCAAGAACCTACGAAAATTGTGAAAACTGCGTAACTCGCAAGCACCCAGGAAGCTGCCAAATCTTGGGTGCTCCGCTACTCCCCCGTGCACCCCAGGAGCCAACGAAAATTGCGACACTTGCGCAGTTCGCAACCACCCAAGGAGCTGGTGTGTCCCGGGTACTTGCCTACTCCGCCGTGCCTCCCAGGAGCCCACGCAAATGGAGACCATTGCGCAATTCGCAGCCCCCCAGGGAGCAGCGCAGGAGGAGGCAGGAGGAGCGGGGTAGAGAAGAAGAGGGTGTGCGACCGCAGTGCTCTATTCAACATGAGAATCCAAGACAGGAGGGTTAGAACATGAAAATAGAAGGGAAATTCATGTCAAACAATAAAGCAAATATTGCACGATGATGTGGCTTCGATGAGAACTGTCCGCACCGAGGAGCGTTAGTGCGCCAAGATGTACGTTCATCACGCATGCTGCTGATGCATGATCGTCTGGGTTGCACGTGTGCTCCTTGTACGGTCATTTTAGCGAGCGTATCCTGGGATGTGTGACTCGAGGAACTCGGGCGCCTCCAGAAACCTAATTGAGTTAAGAAGAGTATACAAACCATCGTGTGTAAGGTTGCTTTTCAACGAGTTTACCGGCATCGCTATCACCTGTACATTATTGAGAAAGTAGCCTTCGCTTGGATTCATCCTGTCGAAAGACGGAGTGTCAGCACGCGTGCACATTCCTTTCTCCCGGCGGTAGGCCAAGGGAATACCACTGAATCGGCATCTGTCCATCAACATCTAATGATGCATCAAAGCCGACACATTAAGACACCTCCCGAATTCAACACCGCGATGCTTTGCATTCCAACGAAGCTTTGCAATCTTCCGTTCTACAAATGGAAGCAATTCTTCTTGAATTTGGCGCGTCGGAAGGAAAGGCCGTAATCCCAA